ACGAAACCAAATGAAAGCACCAATATATGTCTATTATGAACTAGATAACTATTACCAAAATCATCGAAGGTAAGGTACATTTTTTTAATCTAGCTGACTTTTTTTTTGAAGTTTGTAGGAAAACATTTTGTAGATTTTTTATCAGCTATGTGATTACTACCTCAAATTCTGCTGTTTACTACTGGTGGACAAAATTTTACCAGGTATGTAAAGAGTAGAAGTGATAGACAGCTTCTTCATGGATTGCAGTACAAGGACACTAGTTCCTGCAGACCCATTGAGTCGAGCAATGGTCTCCCTGTCGTACCTTGTGGGCTAATTGCATGGAGCTTGTTTAATGATACGTTCACATTTGATGTCAAGGCTGGAAAGTTAAACGTCAACAGGAAGAATATTTCTTGGAAAAGTGACCGAGATCACAAGTTTGGCAATGATGTTTACCCATTTAATTTCCAGAATGATACCTTAATTGGTGGAGGAAAACTTGATCCAAGTATTCCTGTGAGTATTTCAACCTATTAAAGTTTATTCATGTAATTCAACTTTTTAAGTAGGGAATATCCAGAAGGGTTTGTTTGCTTCTATATTTATATCTCAGAATCTTTATTGGGGTAAATTGAGTGACAAAGCATATGATGCTTCTAAGTTGGAATGGCTATATGAAAATTCCTTCCTGTTTTCTCATTCTGAACATTGTTATTTAGGCACACTTTCCTAGGAGAAAAAGTCTCTTCAACTCTTTAAAATGGAGTGAAGGGAAAATTTTATTCAATTAAACTCTGCTAAAATGTAAATGCTCTCTAAATTTCTAATACTTTTTTTTTTTCACTATTTGGATTTATTTCGAAGCAGCTGAGCGAACAGGAGGACCTCATTGTTTGGATGCGTGTAGCTGCACTACCCAATTTTCGGAAACTTTATGGTGTGATTGAGAATGATATAGATGCTGATGAAGTTATCACGATTCAACTTTCTAATAACTACAATACTTACAGTTTTGGTGGGAAGAAAAAACTGGTTCTGACGACTTCAAACTGGCTGGGAGGCAAAAATAATTTCCTCGGCTTATCCTACATTGCCACAGGTTTCTGCAGCATTCTAGT